CCTTCTTACCACATCATCATCATCCCGCGCGGACCCATCGCCATCGGACCGATCAGAAAGTGCACTGGCGGAAACAGGAAGGTGAAGAGCTTCCGATACAACGCGATGAGAAACGTTTTCCCCAATAAAAGCATTTAAATAAAAAAAACGGGAAAAATTATGATGATTTTATAGAAAAAAAAAAAAAAATTGAAGGTCTAACCCTCGCCGGCCCGCGAAGTGCTGCTCGTTCGTCACCGGGGGGAGGGGAATAATAAAAATGACGCAATGATGTAAATGAGAACAGATACTGCGGACAGAAGGGGGCGTCACAGTAAGAGGTAATCCTCCAATGGAGAGGGGCACAGGGTTGTAAACTTGCAAGACGCGGCACGAGGGGTGGGGAATGGATCGCCATCCTCCCACGTGGAAGGGTTAATGGTAAGATGGGGGGGCGCCGGTCTTCGAAAATGATTTGAAGTGTGTGGTGCAGTCACATCATTGCGCAGGGGGAGGGGTTTGGCGGACTTGTCTGAACACTGTAGATATGGAGAGAATACTGAGAGATGGGAAGATGGCTGCATAGTGGTCTGCGAGATACGAGCAGGGGGAGGCGGAGCCGCTATCACAGCGTGATCCAGTCTGGAGAGAGGGAGACGGGGAGGGGGGAGTGTCGCTCTCCTCCCCCTGCGGCTCTAGTATAAAAGTCAGGAGTCCTGGAACGGAGGAGGGGGGCATCGCGTCCTCTGCGCCCCCTTTCACATGATGCCATTGGTCAGGTACTGGAAACCATCGTAGAGTTTGGTGGTTATGGACCTCATGCTGCCGTCCACCATCTGCTCCACCAGGAGCTGCAGCTGCTCCTCCGTCATGTTCATGTGGAAGCGTTCTTTCAGGTTACGGATAGTGCTGGAGCCGTGGAAGCAGGGAAGCTGGGAACCTGGGGGGAGACAAGGGGGAGCGGAGAGAGAGGAGGAAGAGAGGAAAGAGAGAGGGTGAGGAGGGAAGGGGGAAGAGAGTTTGTGTTAGACCAATACACAAAAATGACCAATAACAGCCATTGATCTCCATCTCCATGAATGGCACACATGAGAGGGATGTACATGTATATAGGGGGGGGGAATCACCCTGCTGGAAGGGCAGTGGAGGTGATTTGTAGTACAGGGTGAGTGACACTGCTCACGTCTTCCTTGTAGAGGGTCGGGCGACACAGACAAAGTGACGGGCTTACCCTGCTGCATGATCTCCACAACCTGCACCACGCGGTCCATGTGTTTGCGGGCAGCGATCAGCCCCTGCAGCATCAGCATCTTGTAATAATTGAACATGTCTCCATTCAGTCCCCCCATCACCTGGTGGACAGACAACAACAGGGCTGGTCATTCAGTGTAACATACAGCACCCCCTACAGGATGAACAGGATACTGCACCCCCTACAGGATGAACAGGATACTGCACCCCCTTCACACCTTATGCCCAATATTTTAGAGTGTGGAAAAGAGGGAAATCTAACAATCTGTACGAGATTTAATTATGATATTACGGATAATTGTGGGTCGGTCTGGCGCCCTGGTCCCAGACGCGGCCTGCTTACCACATCATCATCATCCCGCGCGGACCCATCGCCATCGGACCGATCAGAAAGTGCACTGGCGGAAACAGGAAGGTGAAGAGCTTCCGATACAACGCGATGAGAAACGTTTTCCCCAATAAAAGCATTTAAATAAAAAAAACGGGAAAAATTATGATGATTTTATAGAAAAAAAAAAAAAAGTTGAAGGTCTAACCCTCGCCGGCCCGCGAAGTGCTGCTCGTTCGTCACCGGGGGGAGGGGAATAATAAAAATGACGCAATGATGTAAATGAGAACAGATACTGCGGACAGAAGGGGGCGTCACAGTAAGAGGTAATCCTCCAATGGAGAGGGGCACAGGGTTGTAAACTTGCAAGACGCGGCACGAGGGGTGGGGAATGGATCGCCATCCTCCCACGTGGAAGGGTTAATGGTAAGATGGGGGGGCGCCGGTCTTCGAAAATGATTTGAAGTGTGTGGTGCAGTCACATCATTGCGCAGGGGGAGGGGTTTGGCGGACTTGTCTGAACACTGTAGATATGGAGAGAATACTGAGAGATGGGAAGATGGCTGCATAGTGGTCTGCGAGATACGAGCAGGGGGAGGCGGAGCCGCTATCACAGCGTGATCCAGTCTGGAGAGAGGGAGACGGGGAGGGGGGAGTGTCGCTCTCCTCCCCCTGCGGCTCTAGTATAAAAGTCAGGAGTCCTGGAACGGAGGAGGGGGGCATCGCGTCCTCTGCGCCCCCTTTCACATGATGCCATTGGTCAGGTACTGGAAACCATCGTAGAGTTTGGTGGTTATGGACCTCATGCTGCCGTCCACCATCTGCTCCACCAGGAGCTGCAGCTGCTCCTCCGTCATGTTCATGTGGAAGCGTTCTTTCAGGTTACGGATAGTGCTGGAGCCGTGGAAGCAGGGAAGCTGGGAACCTGGGGGGAGACAAGGGGGAGCGGAGAGAGAGGAGGAAGAGAGGAAAGAGAGAGGGTGAGGAGGGAAGGGGGAAGAGAGTTTGTGTTAGACCAATACACAAAAATGACCAATAACAGCCATTGATCTCCATCTCCATGAATGGCACACATGAGAGGGATGTACATGTATATAGGGGGGGGGAATCACCCTGCTGGAAGGGCAGTGGAGGTGATTTGTAGTACAGGGTGAGTGACACTGCTCACGTCTTCCTTGTAGAGGGTCGGGCGACACAGACAAAGTGACGGGCTTACCCTGCTGCATGATCTCCACAACCTGCACCACGCGGTCCATGTGTTTGCGGGCAGCGATCAGCCCCTGCAGCATCAGCATCTTGTAATAATTGAACATGTCTCCATTCAGTCCCCCCATCACCTGGTGGACAGACAACAACAGGGCTGGTCATTCAGTGTAACATACAGCACCCCCTACAGGATGAACAGGATACTGCACCCCCTACAGGATGAACAGGATACTGCACCCCCTTCACACCTTATGCCCAATATTTTAGAGTGTGGAAAAGAGGGAAATCTAACAATCTGTACGAGATTTAATTATGATATTACGGATAATCACACGATAGTTCCCGGTATATTCCACTACAGGCGTGGGGTGCAGGAAGTGTTTAAAGATGGTAAAACAAATGTGTCTGGCCCGTGTCAGAGGACAATAGATGAAGAAGCTGCTTCAGGTTTACAAAGCCTGGACAGTGGTTTGTAGAAGAGAACAATAGGCCCAATAATAAAAGGTGAACTGCGAGGAAACCGCTCACCGAACTCGTCCGCCTGCATTCCTCCAAATGTAAAAGCGTTGGTGGTAAGACAGAGCAACGAGACGCACCGCCACCACATCGGCCAATGTGTACGAAGGCCAACTTACTACCCTGGTGGTGGTGGGGGGCCGTTCTGATGGTGGAGCAAAGTGATTAACATTGTTACTGAAGTGTGCCGTGTCCTCTGTACTGATATCGCTTCATTCCATCAATCAGAGGCCTCGTGTGAAGCTGAATCCTCCGGCCCGAACTAAAGAGGTTTTACAGTCACCAGGAATTCACCCATCGAGGATTCCCAACCAATCACACCACTAACCTGCATGTGTTATCATCCAATCCTAATGGAGCCCGCGTGGTCACTGCGGATATCACCAACAAATCATTCAGAATTCACCCGACAGATCAGTGACAACACCGCCAAATGTCAGACTGACCAGACAGACAAATTCCCCTTCTTGGGTAGCATGGTTGGCGCCGACTGCCCCCCCCAAAGATACGTTTTACTTACGTCCACAAACTCTGACGTCAGTTTGAAGGCGGAGGTCTCGAAGCCCAGATTCCGAGGGGAGCTGGACAGGATGAAACCGAAATCGATGTGTATGATGTGACCCTCGGCGTCCAATAGGATGTTTCCATTGTGCCTGGAGAGAAAGGACATTGGCCATTATGGTATCACCCACGTCACTGTGTCAGCTGCACATACGTATCCCCATGGACACCAATCAGTGGCCCATTACTGGAATGTTACCAGAGAGGAATTGTGGATACGAGAAATGCTTTCTAGTACATGTTGTCCCTTTAAGCCTGATCATTTATAACATTGTAAAGTGTAGGACCGCCCGTCACAGATCCGTGTCCCGCGTGCCCGTCACAGATCCGTGTCTCGCGTGCCCGTCACAGATCCGTGTCTCGCGTGCCCGTCACAGATCCGTGTCTCGCGTGTCCGTCACAGATCCGTGTCTCGCGTGTCCGTCACAGATCCGTGTCTCGCATGTCCGTCACAGATCCGTGTCTCGCATGTCCGTCACAGATCCAGGTCCCTCATGCCCGTCCTAGATCCAGGTCCCACATGCCCGTCCCAGATCCATGTCCCACATGCCCGTCACAGATCCATGTCTCACATGCCCGTCACAGATCCAGGTCCCACATGCCCGTCACAGATCCATGTCTCACATGCCCGTCACAGATCCAGGTCCCACATGCCCGTCCCAGATCCATGTCTCACATGCCCGTCACAGATCCACGTCACGCAAACTTCACCAATACCCTATGAACAATCCTTCCATAGGTCTATGTGGCTTAAAGACTAAGGGCGTTTGTTAAGGGAAGGCTGAGACTTGATGGGATGAAAAGAAATAGACAACCTAACATGCTTACCTTTGCTGGAGAACATGCTGCTCCTGACTCCACTCCCATGACCAAAAGCCTAAGACTGTCCATGTGAACTCTGCTAAAGGTGAAGGATCAGAGTACAGAAAAGCTGATCCTTCTATTCAGCAGAGATCTAAGTGTCTATGCCTACAGACATGTCGGCAGCACGGGACAGCATTTTCTCCAGTAAAGGTAAGTTTCAATTATTCTTTATTCACGCAACACAGCAAGCCTGATCACTGCACTTATACAGAATGTTGGGGCACCTAGACAGGTGAACTATACATGCACAAGTGTAAACGTAATAGCTGGAACAGCTTGTATAAAAACAATTGAACTATGATGCCCTAAGCAGCTTGGAGTATGAGGAAGGGGGTCTGCCAATGCCGACTCCCAGTAAAGAGCACACAGCCTGTCGCAGATCCCGCCTCCTCAAATTCCATGGGAATATTAGGACTGGGTAGGCCAAGAAGAGAGCCTGCCACCACTGAGCTGCCAGCTCATATCAAGACATATAACCGGCCCAACATGCTGCATAGGTGCACTGATCCTTTAACACTGCTGTATAGTCCTGCAGGCCTGTTCTTGCGCCCCTTGTCCTGGGCACGAAGCCCTCTCTGTCCCCTTCCCCAGACGGGTCACCTCTCACCTGTCTTTGACTTGCAGCAGGTAGCAGACCAGGCAATACCCGGCACAGCTCTGTACAAAGTTCCGTTGTGCGGTCAGGAAGGCTTCGGTAGTGTAGCTGCCGTGTTCCTGGAGGAAATAGTCCAGGAGAGACAGCTGGGACTGCTTCTTCACCTGATGGATGGACACGGCATTGACCACCGGCTCAATCATACCACTGTCCGCCGAGATCACCAGGATCTTGTATGGTCGTATCCATAGCGGTACGCGTTCCGTCTCCCATATGGACTGGTGGAAAGAGAAAGAGATTTGGATTAGTACATCTCTTCAGTCAACTATTTCCTTCCGCCCTGTCTGCTGGAATCGCAATCATACGATGCTGAGGTACGGAGGGACCAGGAGACATAATCCCCATGGCCCGACCAGGGATAAATTATGTATACTTACAGTGTGCCAAGCTGAACAACCGTAACTATATCTACATTTTTATAGATGAAGTTCAGTTTAAATAAACAAAAGGGAGCTAAACAGTAACACAGCTCATCAGCAGAGGAAGCAATGGTTACACGCCCTCCATTACCACATCTCACCAGTAGAGGGAGCAATCAATCCCTGCCCTCCATTACCACATCTCACCAGCAGAGGGAGCAATGGTTACCCGCCCTCCATTACTACATCTCACCAGCAGAGGGATCAATCTTTCCCTGCCCTCCATTACCACACCTCACCAGCAGAGGAAGCAATGGTTACACGCCCTCCATTACCACATCTCACCAGTAGAGGGCGCAATCCCTGCCCTCCATTACCACATCTCACCAGCAGAGGAAGCAATGGTTACACGCCCTCCATTACCACATCTCACCAGTAGAGGGCGCAATCCCTGCCCTCCATTACCACATCTCACCAGCAGAGGGAGCAATGGTTACCCGTCATCCATTACCACATCTCACTAGCAGAGGGAGCAATCAATCCCTGCCCTCCATTACCACATCTCACCAGCAGAGGGAGCAATCAATCGCTGCCCTCCATTACCACATCTCACCAGCAGAGGGAGCAATCAATCCCTGCCCTCCATTACCACATCTCACTAGCAGCGAGATTAACTCGCAATCCCTGCCCTCCATTACCACATCTCACCAGCAGAGGGAGCAATGGTTACCCGTCATCCATTACCACATCTCACTAGCAGAGGGAGCAATCAATCCCTGCCCTCCATTACCACATCTCACCAGCAGAGGGAGCAATCAATCGCTGCCCTCCATTACCACATCTCACCAGCAGAGGGAGCAATCAATCCCTGCCCTCCATTACCACATCTTACCAGCAGAGGGATCAATCTTTCCCTGCTCTTCATTACCACACCTCACTAGCAGCAATCATAACCCATCCTCCATTACAAAATCTTACCAGCAGAGGGCGCAATCATTACTCATCTTCTAATACTGCAGGTCACTAGCAAAGTAGTAATCATTACCTGCCCTCCATCACCACAGTTCACTAGCATAGGGGGCAATCATTTCCTGCCCTTCATTACGATAGCTTCAGCAGCAATCATTCCCCCAGACCTCCAATACCTCAGCTCTGCAGAGGAGGGAGCAATCATTCCTCCCCCAACCTCTAATACCTCAGCTCACCAGCTGGAGGAGGGAGCAACCAATCCTTCCCCTTAGTTACTGCAGCTGTCTAGCAAAGGGAGCATTCATTCGCTGCCCTTTATTACCACACCTCACCAGCAGAGGGCGCAATCATTCCCTGCCCTCCAGTACTACATCTAAACAGCAGAAGGAGCAATCATTAACCATCCTCTAAGGTCACCAGCACAGAGGGCAATCACTACCCACCCTCCATTACCGCAGCTGTCCAGCAGTGGGAGCAATCCCTCCCTTACCTGCAGCTGTTTGAGGACCTGAAAGGCCAGCAGCTCCTGTCTCAGGTCGTCGCCACATTTCACGATGACGGAGAGCAATCTCCAGTTAGGGAAGTGGCCGTAGGGGGAGCCCTCCCGTATCCTCCTGTAATACAGTTAAGTCACATTAGATGTAAGCCATAACCAATTGCTTATATAAAGGTATGCCGAGTCCACCTCCAACACGTACCTGACTTTCTCCTCCCAGGGCTCCTTTAGTGCTACAGCGGATGGGTCCTCAGGATCTCTGCGAAAGGTGGTAGGGGTGTGGGCCAGCTGCTCCGACAGGCGCCGCCTGTACAAGATATGGAGAATTTTCAGACCGGTTTCACCCATGTATGCCAAATTAAAGGTCATGTAACCCCACAGAAATGGTTCAATTTAGAGGAAGGGTCCACTCACCGGATGTCCCCAGCCGCGATGAATACAGGCTCTTTGCTCTCCTGGCTGGTGATACTGTCCACGGAGAACTGGGAGATGTTATCGCAGCTGTTGGTGTGAATTTCGGGCAGCTGGAGGACGAGAGAGAGAAAACCCGAGGATGAGAACCCAGAACCGGCCAAGCAGAGACCTGACCATGGAAAGAGGCTCACCTCCACCTGCAGCTCACAGATATCATCCACCGACCAGGCCTCCTCGTCGTTGTCGTAATTGGGCACAGTTGTGAAGCTGCTGGCTCTCTGCTCGTGCGTGATGCCGCACTCTGGAAGATTCTCCACCGAACGCGTGCTGCGAATGCGGTTCTCGGGAATGCGAACTGGAACGATTGACGTCTCGAAGTTCTCGCACACAAGAACCTCCACGTAGATCAAATATGGTGCCTACAAGGAGAACTTGTAAATGGTAATAGGTTCTGAGACCTAGACTTTAACAATAATAATCAATGATCGGTCCAATTTGGAAAAATCCATCAAAACGGATAGGAGCTTGTGTCTCTGCCCCTCCCACAATGGTGAGATTTCCTCCAGTAGTTTGTGTCTCTGCCCCTCCCACAATGGTGAGATTTCCTCCAGTAGTTTTTGTCTCTGCCCCTCCCACAATGGTGAGATTTCCCCCAGTAGTTTGTGTCTCTCTCCCTCTCACAATGGTGAGATTTCCTCCCAGTAGTTTGTGTCTCTGCCCCTCCCACAATGGTGAGATTACCCCCAGTAGTTTGTGTCTCTGCCCCTCCCACAATGGTGAGATTTCCTTGCAGTAGTTCATGCCTCTGCCCCTCCCACAATGGTGAGATTTCCCCCAGTAGTTGTGTCTTTGCTCCTCCCACAATAGTGAGATTTCCTCCAGTAGATTGGGTCTCTGCCCCTCCCACAATGGTGAGATTTCCCCCAGTAGTTGTGTCTTTGCTCCTCCCACAATAGTGAGATTTCCTCCAGTAGATTGGGTCTCTGCCCCTCCCACTATGGTGAGATTTCCCCCCAGTAGATTATGTCTCTGCCCCTCCCACTATGGTGAGATTTCGCCCCAGTAGTTGTGTCTCTGCTCCTCCCGCAATAGTGAGATTTCCTCGCAGTAGATCGTGTCTCTGCCCCTCCCACAATGGTGAGAGTTCCCCCAGTAGAGGCAGTCAGCGCTCTCCTCTCTCCCCCTCGGCATCCTCATGCAAGTCTATGGACCTGCAATGCTCAAATAAAGCAGATTGTATATCTGCAAAACAATCACTTAACCCTTCCAGTGTGGGGGTAGTCCGCCTGCAAGGGTTAGATCTGGAATTCCTGGCATTCCTCTTTAAATCCAACCCCCCCCAGTCATGTCACATACCTTGTCCTTGGAGTTCAGAACAACGGCCTGCGTGTGAGGAATTCGCACGACGTGGTGGTCGAAGCCAGCCGTGGGGAGCCAGACGCGGGCCGGCAGTTTGTGATTCAGCAGCGAGAGTTCGGAGATGAGCCGGTGGGTCTTCTGCTCCTTGGTGGGCAGGGTGGCAAGCCTCTTCCCGATGGACATGAGAGACTTGATGAACTCCCGCTCCGGGGCCAGTCTGACAGGCTGCCGAGGGGGGCAAGGGCAAAAAAAAAAAGTTTTCAAAAGCATTTGGCACTTTTCCCAACTCATGTCAGGACCCTTCCCATCATCTAAAACATCCTACAAAAGCCTAAACTGCCTGCGTGGCCCATGGCCCGGCTTCCATTCCCCCCATACTGCCCTAGAAACCTGTAATGGGTCATCAAGTAATTGACTGGCATCGGCAAACACCTCAGCACTGCATGTAAAAATTCCCACACCGATGAGAGACCCTTCTGTACCAACTCATCTCTACAGACCCGTGTCCTTCAGCTTCAACCTCTTGTAAACCGAAGCCATTAAAAAGGCAAAACAACCTGCCCCTCTAACCCAGAGCAACTGTGCCCAATTGTGTCCTTGATGTATGGCTCTTACCATAAAGAACCCATTACTACCTCTCTTACTGTACACAAAATGCCTTCTTCCACTCTTATTGTAAAGAATCCATTCCTACTTAGCTTACTGTGAAGAACCCATTCCTGCTGCTCTGACCATAAAGAATCTCTTCCTACTGAGCTTACTGCAAAGAAACACTTTCTTCCACTCTTATTGTAAAGAATCCCTTCCTACTGAGCTTACCATAAAGAACCCCTTCCTGCTGCTCTGACTGTAAAGAACCTCTTACTACCGGTCTTACAGTAAAGAAACATCTTCCACTCTTATTGTAAATAATCCCTTCCTACTGAGCTTACCATAAAGAACCCCTTCTTGCGGCTCTGACCATAAAGAACCCCTTCCTACTGAGTTTACCATACAGAACCCCTTCTTGCTGCTCTGACCATAAAGAATCCCTTCCTACTGAACTTACCATACAGAACCCCTTCCTGCTGCTCCAACCGTAAAGAACCCATTACTACCTTCTCTTACTGTAAAAAAAAGAAATGTCTTCTTCCACTCTCATTGTAAAGAATCCCTCCCTACTGAGCTTACTATACAGAACCCCTTCCTGCTGCTCTGACCACAAAGAACCCTTCCTATACTGATGTCGCTTAGTGTTTTGCCTCTGAGCCCAGAACGACAGAGGATGGAAGAGATTGTCGGTAAGATCTCACGGTCTATGTGAGGGTCTGATTACAGAAGCTGCCAATTCTCAGACCAATCAGAAATTGTAGCAATTATTTGTATGAGCGATCCCTACCCCCCATGTATGAGGACAATAACCAAGGTAGATGGGCACCTTCCTCACCACATTGGGGTACCTAATCCACTCCAGGACCACCACAAGGGACATGACAGGAGCCAGCACCCCGTACTTGGCACAAGGACACACAAAACCATTCTGACCAATCACAGACCACCAACTCTAACCCATCATCCAATCACACATTCCATTACCAGCGGAACTTGAATAGAGCGTGGAAGTGGTAGAAGAACGGTCAAAGTTCTACTGCTGTGGGGGAGATCCACCTTCACTTCCTGTCTTGGTGACTATACAGGAAGTAAGAGGGACTCTTCAACGTGATCAATGCCAAATGATCCAACTCTGCCCAACTCTATCCATGTTTTTGGCTGGAGGTCGCAATGATTTTAGAGGCTGAAAACCGTAAAATTTGAAGAGCCGACACTTATCTCAAGTCCAATCTGATCCCACCCCAGATACCATCACCATCTGTCTTCTCATAAATCAAACAGGAAGTAGTGGGATTGACCAGTAGTAGTTTGTCACATTTGGTTGGGCTTGTTCTGGAACGTTGAAGATGTTTCGTAGCTTATCCAAAACCACTTCAGTTCAGGGAGCTAGGACACCTTATTCCAACCACTAGATGTAGTCTACATGCGATGTAGATGGTGAAACAACCAGATGGGGGGGTGTAAAGGTTGAGGAACCTCCCATACCCAAGTATTTACATCATACAGAGAGCTAGGACACCTCATTCCAACCACTAGATGTAGTCTACATGAGACGTAGATGGTAAAACAACCAGATGGGGGGTGTAAAGGTTGAGGAACCATCCATACCCAAGTACTTAAATCATACTGGGAGCTAGGACACCTTGCTCCAACCACTAGATGTAGTCTACATGAGACATAACTGGTCCTACAACAAGATGGGGGTGTAAAGGTTGAGGAACCACACATACCCTAGTACTTACATCATACAGGGAGCTAGGACACCTTATTCCAACCACTAGATGTAGTCTACATGAGACGTAGATGGTCAAACAACAAGATGGGGGGTGTAAAGGTTGAGGAACTTCCCATACCCAAGTACTTAAATCATACTGGGAGCTAGGACACCTTGTTGCAACCACTAGATGTAGTCTACATGAGACATAATTGGTCCAATTCACACCTTTGGTCATGTGACCTGGAGGATCAACACCTATGAGGACTAGGGGGTTTCTGCGTCAAACATCACTGAACTGGGGTCAGGGCCTTCAATACCATCTGTCTTCCACACATAATGCCATTTTACCATCTCTCCCCCGGTGATCTGACACCAATTCACACCTTTGGCCATGTGACCTGGAGGGTTAACTATGAAGACTAGGGAGCTTCTACGTCAAACTGGAACAACCATCACTGAACTGAGGTCAGGGCCTTCAAAGCCACCTGTCTTCCACACATAAGGCCATTTTACAATCAATACCCCGGTGATTTGACACCCTCAGACCTTCAGCCATGTGACCTGGAGGCTCAACACTTATGAAGTCTAGGGGGCTTCTGTGTCAAACTGGAACAACCATCCATGAACTGGGGACAGATCCTTCAAAGCCATCTGTCTTTCACATATAATGCCATTTTAACATCTATACCCCGGTGATTTGATACCAATTCACACCTTCGGCCATGTGACCTGGAGAATCAACACCTATGAAGACTAGGGGGCTTCTGCGTCAAACTGGAACATCCATCCATGAACTGGGGTCAGGGCCTTCAACGCCACCTGTCTTCCACACATAAGGCCATTTTACTATCTCTACCCCGGTGATTTCACACCCTCACACTTTCGGCCATGTGACCTGGAGGATCAACACCTATGAAGACTAGGGGGCTTCTGCATCAAACTGGAACCACCATCCATGAACTGGGGTCAAGGCCTTCAACACCACCTGTCTTCCACATGTGATGCCATTTTAACATCTCTACCCTGCCGATTTGACACCCTCAGACCTTCAGCTATACGAGTTGAAGGATTACCATCATGCAGACTTTCTAAGCACCAAGGATGGATCACGTAACTAGAACAGTGTGGCTCCTCAACCTTCACAACTCCCATCTTCTTCTTTGACAATCAACATCTTCATATTCCATGGTGGTTGAAGAAAGGTATCTCTGCTACCCATGTGGATATAAATGCTGAGGTATGTTCTTGACACATTAGTGGCTTGGAGAAGCTACAAAATGTCTTCAACATTACAGAACAAGTCCAGACGAATGTGACCAACTACTACTAGTTGTACCTTGACCCAAGATGAATGAGAAGTACCTTCACAGACATAAGGAGGAATTCATTATCTCCAGTGATTACATTAGTAAAGAGAGGAAAATTTGATGAGCATTGACTGTGGCACCCCCTACAGACAGGAAGGAAGAATAAACCCCATTCCACCCATTTTCAACCAAATTTCCCCAAAATCGCTCTTCACCAAAGAGCCTTGAAGCCCATGGACCATGTAGGAAGCCTCCAAAGCTTCTTTTCTGATTGGATTAGGAGAGAGATTCAACATGAAGAACAGGAAAGGGAGCAAGGACGTCTTATAGTTGTATCCGCTTGGGAGCTAAAGCTTAATAAAGAAGCCTTGGACATAGCAGAAACCCAGGCCCGGGGTGGGCGGCCATTATTAAAAGTCTGATAATAATTTGGGGTCACCTGCAAATAATAAATTAATTAAAACACGAACCAACAAAAAACAAATGACAGACGATGAATGGCCGCCAGCTGGGCAGGCGTGCCGCACGGTGGACACACACAGAGGATGACCTACATTTAGGACGGGACACACAGAAGAGAGGAAGGAAAGGAATTACATGGGGAAGATCATCCAAGGCCAATCCTTCATCATTATATTCATTGTACTTAAAGGAGAAGCAGCATTTCCTCTGAGAGGCCGCCATGTTTACTGCCATGGGCGGGGTTAGTGCTCGCAGGATATCTTTGGTGGCACTTTATAAATGGCAGAGGGGGGAGATTTACACAGAGCCAAGGGGGACAGAAATTCTCATCACTACCCATTGGGATGTCCTGACCATTACGTAGAGATGATCAGCAAACATGGTCACCTTAAAGTGAAGGGTTCAGAGCGTTGCCGTGTTTTTCTTGAAGGAGATGTACCTTCTCTGAATGCCCTGGTGACCACTTGCCCAGTCCACACTTCCGGAACAGGAAGTAAGGTGAAATCTACCAAAAAGGGACGCCTTTTTCAGCGAGAACTGTCTAGAAAGACTTGAGACATTTCCTCTCACTTCCTGTTGGGTCTCTGGGACAGGAAGTCATGGCAAAACTCCCCAAATGGACACAAACAGCCGAAAACACTGACAGGTATTTTAACCATTTCATACTCTGTCCAGAATTGAAGCAATACTCCAGGCAAATAAAAAAAAAATACTCTATGGGGTTCTCCCCAATGTGGTTGGAGTTCCCGGTGGTGGGCCGATAGGGCCCACACTGACAGGACTGCTTAATCTGACCAGAGTGGGTACAGGGCATCCGCTCCTATTGAACTGGTCAGCCGTACTATGGTTGAGGGAACATCCTTCCTACTGAGGCCAACGTGGAGTGAACAGGTCCTCTTCCCTGCTGATGGGCTCCATACACAACTCTGGATATGAACACAAAGATCTAATTTTTTTTGGTCCGTCTCCAAATTCTAAACATAATGATGTGACTTCTCACCGCTGGGGCGGTGTACAAAGTCCCCACGAACCAGTGGTCACAAGCTGGAGAGAAAAAGCTGGCAGCATACTGTCATGTCCAACGTTCGAAAAACTTTATTATTCCAGAACAAACTTCAAAGAAGCCCCACCTACAACCTTCACTAATGCGTTTCACCCAACACTGGCCCGCCTATCAATTGCATCTCTACGATTAAGCCCAGTGTTAAACGCGTCAGTAGAGAAGGTCCAAGGCCAGTGGTGGCGAACCTTGGCACTCCAGAGGTTTTGGAACTACGAGTCCCATGAGGCATTGCAAGGCTCTGACAGCCACAGACATAACTCCCAGAGGCAGATGCATGTTGGGATTTGTAGTTTTGGCACAGCTGGAGTGCCAAGGTTCGCCACCACTGTCGTAGGCCAAGTTTCACAAGCGTTAGACATGCCGGGGACGTTTCTCTTGACAGTTCGAGGTGAGGACAAGCCCCTGCAGAGGGAGTGGTCCACCATATGTGACTCGGCAGCAACGGGAAACATTTACTTGTGTGCTCACAGGCCGTCATGCAGTCGCAGCATGCGCAGTGGGCGGGGACAGAAGACAGCAAACACTAAACACGCAGCTCTTGGCCAGAGGGTGGCCATCTTGATATGTGATGGAGCAGCGGATGAGAAGAAGCGTACAATGAAAGCCGCGGCTTCGGCCTCTACGTGTGAACTACGCACTGAATCAGATCAAAAGTTCAATCGGCCTTTGTGTTGGGCGGGTCAACGATGAACCCTCCCCCTGAGCTGTGCGACTACAACTCCCAGCATGCTCTAGGTCAGGGGTAGGCAACCTCGGCCCTCTAATTGTGCTGCAACTACGGACCCCATATGATGGGAGTCGTAGTCTCACATGCAGCTGGCTGTTAGTGGCATAAGGGTAGGATGAGGGTTTGGTGGCCAATACACGCTCAGTGGTGGTCTTTTTGAGGGCTCCGTCTGGATAATATTTGGAGGATCGGCATGACTGCCCCTCCCTTGGCTCAGCCGCTCTGAGGCCGGGACATTATCGCAGCAATAAGAATAATCCTTTGGATGCCATAAAGTGAGGAAACCTAATAAGTCAACCATTGTTCTGATTCAGTGAGTAGACATGTGGGAGGATGATGATGATGATGATGATGATGATGACGAGGATGACGAGGATGATGATGGGGCGACATTCACAAATATACTGGTAAAGTCAAACTATCATATACCGTACATTGGATTAGAGCAATGATTCTTAACCTCCAGGCTACGGCCCGCTGCTGGGCTATGGGCCCACTTCGGCTCCTATATCTACTGCTGTCACACCGTGCATGGACCGGCCTGGTGGTGGGCCAGAGGATCCTCAAAGGATTCCCAGCCCGCTGCGTCACTGACAGACCCCAGAGTAATACTTTATATAAATGAGGGGACCCTGGCCGAAATTACCCCATGGGGCCGACTGATCTGCTCTGGATCGGAGATAGTTCTGCTGCGTCTCTACACACAGAGAGACGTAAAAAAGGCAGCTGTCCCGCTGACAGCAATGATATGAGGTTGTTCTGCACCGAGGGCCACCATCACCAGTGATTTAGGGGCTATTCTTCCCTGGTGGCCACTATCCCACTGGTACCAAAAGGTTAGTGGGCTATTCTTCCCTGGGGGCCACTATCCCACTGACACCAATGATTTGTGAATTTTCTCTCCTGGGGGCCACTATCAGACTGACAGGAACATTTGTGGGCTATTCTTCCCTGGGGGCCACTATCCCACTGACACCAATGATTTGTGAATTTTCTCTCCTGGGGGCCACTATCAGACTGACAGGAACATTTGTGGGCTATTCTTCCCTGGGGGCCACTATCCAACTGACACCAATGATTTGGGGGCTATTCTTCCCTGGGGGGCCACTATCCCACTGACACCAATGATCTGGGGGTTATTCTTCTCTGGGGGCCACTATCCCACTGACAGGAACATTTGTGGGCTATTCTTCCCTGGGGGCCACTATCCAACTGACACCAATGATTTGGGGGCTATTCTTCCCTGGGGGGCCACTATCCCACTGACACCAATGATCTGGTGGTTATTCTTCTCTGGGGGCCACTATCCCACTGACGCCAATGATTTGGGGCAATTCTTCCCTGGGGGCCACTATCCCACTGAGACCAATGATTTTAGGAGTTATTCTGCCCTGGGGGCCACTATATCATAGACACCAATGTTTCGAAAGGCTATTCTTCCCTGGGGCCCACCATTCCACTGACACCAATGATTTAGGGGCTATTCTCCTCTGGCAACCATAATCCCACCGACACCAATGATGTAGGGGCCTTTTCCTTATAGGGCCCGCTCCCACTGATACCAATGACTATGCCCTTTCCTCATGTGGCCTATTCCCCTCTTGGGCCACTATCCCACTGACACCAATGATTGGGGGGCTATCCTTCCCTGGGGGCCACTATCCCACTGACACCAATGATTCGGGGGCTATCCTTCCCTGGGGGCCACTATCCCACCGACACCAATGATTGGGGGGCTATCCTTCCCTGGGGGCCACTATCCCACTGACACCAATGATTGGGGGCTATTCTTCCCTAGGCCCGCTACCAATGACTGCCTTTTCCTCATGGGGCCTATTCCCTCTGGGGCCACTATCCTGACAGCAATGATCTGGGGAGCCATTCTTTCCTGGGCCCCACTGACACCGATCATATAGGGGCCTTTTTTTTCCCCCTTGGAGCCCGCTACCCCACTGACCCCAATATTATGGAGACATATTTTGCATTCCCATACTATTATTGAGTGTAAACCTTTTGTTTACAGTCAAGGGATGGAAGGCTTGGGAAGAATTTAAGGGGCCCCAGTCCCATGAAGATTGAGGACCCCTGGATTAGACCCCACCCCCTTTTATCTCTGGGGAGATTCACCTCTCTACCTCTCCCGGTGTCACCAATACAGAGAGTGATGGGAAACCCAACCACCTACAGTTGTCACCAGAACAGGAACAGAGGGGAAATCTTCCAATGGGGACACATGATCTGGTGACACCCAAGAGCATCTTTACCTCTTCCCGCCGCACATGAATCTGCGCCCTCCTTCCCACAACCCTCCGCCATCCGGTGTGCAGCCGGTTCTGATGCGGCAATCCCGAACGCCTGGAATCTCCCGGATGCCCTCATCTTTGCCTTCCTGCGTAAGATTTTCTTCCGTTTCTGAAACTTTAACATTCATATTTGTGAATGCTCCGCGGGATGACGGTTGTACGATGCGCCTGCTGCGGTGGTGCCATGCAGGGGAAGGAGGGGTATGGGCAGATTTGGGGAGGGGCTTCTTTTACGCCCTCCCTCTTAAACTGTAACTCCACCCGGAACACACTGGCCTGGCAGTGAAATGAGACGCCTCTGGGAACCCTTTTGTATATGAATCAGCCTTGTTTCAGTTTACTTGCACAGGCTCTTGATGTATCCGGTGGAGGAAATTCGACTTCCTGCCTCCGCAGGCAGTGCGCGGTTATAGGCAAGCAGGACCAATTCTGGCAAGAACCTGCACAGAGGGAACGGACAGAAATTGGATTCTCCATCTTTTCTTACACCATCGTATCGGAGAGGTGGAGTTACACTTTAAAAAGGCCACTCCCACCCAAAACTGGTATTTCGGCTATAGGCAGATGGAACCTGGCTCATTCACCCGCGGGGCTCCGGGGGGGCCAGATCTCCTTGCCAGATTTTCTCTTGCGAGGCTGAAATGGCCAGGTTATGGTCATGTGACAAGTGGGCGGAGCCGAGAGCACCGGTGAGGAGATCTGACTGCCGGAGATGGGGTTTTTGCATCCGCGTGTAGCCGAAAACCACCATTCTGGGCAGCCGGGCCCTTGGGATCCCCTTGGAGGAAATGCTGCTATGGTAGAGACAGAAGCCAAGAAGAGCCCCACCAACCAACTGGGTAAAACGTGTCCAACTTACGGAGGTGAACGGCCTATCGAGACTTTCCGAACTGGATGAGAGGTCCTGGGAAGGAGGAGGGGAAGGAGGAGGGAGAAAAAGGTACAGGATTAGCTACTAGTGTCACCATGACATCATCAGCCCCGCCCACATTGCTTGGGAAGGTACGGACGGCTGTGCGGTTCCCCCTACGACTGTCGGAGTGAAGGAGATCAGCGATGAACAGGGACGGACAGACTGACACGACGACAGACAACCCCAACTTATAAACACGAGCACGGGGACGACAGTCACACCGCCCGATTACTGGCCACTCCCACCACAACACCATGCCACGCCCACAGAGGTTACACCACATTCATCAACACACACACACACTTGGTTAAGCTGCATCTAAGTTGTAACTATTGTGCTTTAAAAAGCACCAACGTATAGAGAAGCGCAGTACAGCGTGACATTAAAGCAGAAGAGCTGACAATCTAAGAGGCGGGGAACTCCCGGCGAGGAAGGCGGCTGTGGCTAGGGGCGGCAGGATGGTCACGGACAAGCACATTTTCCCCCTCCATCGATCTGCAGGGCGACATATTCACACAGCAGGTTAAAGGAGAACTCCGAACCCTGCAGTGACGTGGAATCAGTCAATACTTTGCTGCAGCACAACAGCTGAAAAATGAAATGGGGCTTGCAGCTGATCTGTACATTGATGGGTAGGAAAGGGGGGTGGGGCGGGTGGGGGGGAGACATCTTATTTCTCTAAAAATGTTTTCATTAGGAAATATTCCACCTGAGTCATGGAATCAAGCTGGGAAGGCGGTCACAGCGACGGCAGACTCACCCCTGCGGTGATGTGGCAGACTCTAATAACATCTGCCATCTTATCATTGCGTCAGGACCAGATTAGGTACACACAGGGCGCTTCCACCGCCCGTGTTCAGAGCAATGCAGGCTGGATGTAATAGATGCATCACAGTGACAAAATCATTCTCCCCTTTAATAATTTTTTTTCCCGACACCAATCCATGGCAGCATACAATGGGTATGGCTCCGCCCCCAGCCCAATCACAGGACCAGTTATACTATAAATTAAAGCCCGCCTCCCAAGGCCACCATTCTTTTTTCTGTCCAAATCCTGTCTGTGCAAATCCTTCTAAATGTTCATTCTGTGTGAATGTAGCAACTACTAAGGTTCTTTGTATATTTTCTTTTCAGACGGACTGTATTGTGATGTAATAGCACATTATGGCCACTAGATGGAACTGAGGAGTACAGGGAAGGCATACTTTTTTATGGCCACTAGATGGAGCTGAGGAGCAGAGGAAATACTTATTTATGGCCACTAGATGGCACTGAGGAGCAGAGGAAATACATATTTATGGCCAATAGATGGATCTGAGGAGCAGAGGAAATACATATTTATTTATGGCCACTAGATGGAGTGGAGGAGCACAGGCAATATTTATGGCCACTAGATGGCACTGAGGAGCACAGGAAATACATACTTATTTATGGCCACTACATGGAGCTGAGGAGCAGAGGGAATATTTATGGCCACTAGATGGAGCTGAGGAGCACAGGAAATATTTATGGCCACTAGATGGAGCTGAGGAGCACAGGAAATATTTATGGCCACTAGATGGAGCCGAGGAGCACAGGAAATACATACTTATTTCTGGTCACTAGATGGCACTGAAGAGCAGAGGAAATATATACTTATTTATGGCCACTAGATGGAGCTGAGGAGCACAGGAAATATTTATGGCCACTAGATGGAGCCGAGGAGCAAAGGAAATACATACTTATTTCTGGTCACTAGATGGCACTGAAGAGCAGAGGAAATATATACTTATTTATGGCCACTAGATGGAGCTGAGGAGCACAGGAAATATTTATGGCCACTAGATGGAGCCGAGGAGCACAGGAAATACATACTTATTTCTGGTCACTAGATGGCACTGAAGAGCAGAGGAAATACATAAATATTTATGGCCACTAGATGGAGCTGAGGAGCACAGGAAATATTTATGGCCACTAGATGGAGCTGAGGAGCACAGGAAATATTTATGGCCACTAGATGGAGCCGAGGAGCACAGGAAATACATACTTATTTCTGGTCACTAGATGGCACTGAAGAGCAGAGGAAATATATACTTATTTATGGCCACTAGATGGAGCTGAGGAGCACAGGAAATATTTATGGCCACTAGATGGAGCCGAGGAGCAAAGGAAATACATACTTATTTCTGGTCACTAGATGGCACTGAAGAGCAGAGGAAATATATACTTATTTATGGCCACTAGATGGAGCTGAGGAGCACAGGAAATATTTATGGCCACTAGATGGAGCCGAGGAGCACAGGAAATACATACTTATTTCTGGTCACTAGATGGCACTGAAGAGCAGAGGAAATACATATTTATGGCCACTAGATGGAGCTGAGGGAATATTTATGGCCACTAGATGGAGCTAAGGAGCGCAGGAAATAAATACTTGTTTCCTATGCTCCTCAGCGCCATCTACTACATTCCACTGGGGAAAAAAAGAAAAAAAACTTTTGTTTTTGCCTCTATTCGCACAGTACGAACGTTCAAAGAGATGCACGAGGCGAATGGCTCTGCAAATTGTTTCTAAATAGGCCCCTAAGTAGCTGCAAAGATATGTACAGATTTGCCATCACATGCCAAAGTCCCAAAACTGGGTCCAGGCGTTCAGGTTTCTTTGACCGTCCGCCATTAAGGGTTTAAATATATATTTTGCACTTCCCCGAGTGCAGTAGAACCCCCCATAGACTTCAATGTGGCCAATGAGAGTCATAGAGACTAAGTTTTCATGCCCTCTGAGGAATAACATTTGGAGGTGTGGGGTAGGGGCACAGGGACGGGGGAAAGGGGGTCAATTAATCTGAAGTGTAATCTCGGGTTTTCAATAGAAGGTGCGGGGTTAAATCCCCCGAAACGCGACGCCATGTTTGATTTAGGAAGTCGTCACCAGATATTTTCGGCTTTGCCCCGAGCACTTCTCTAAAATCGGAGATGTTTGAACTTTTCTGCACCAGCACCGTGACCCGAAGTAGCCGTCGTGGGGAAAGCAGGAAGTGACATCACACGGAGTGCCTCTCGATGAGCTCGGCATGACGCTCACATGTCCATGACTCAGCCTGCAGACGCACACACGATGTCTGTGTAAAGGTTACTGCAGACAATGACCAGCTCCCATCATGCACCTCTCCTCCCCTATGGCCCCAAGAAATGTCAGCTGTAGCGGCTGCATTCCTTCTCTCAGGATTGTTCCCCTCTATGTGGACCTGGGGATACTGCCAGACACACACTTCCTGTCCCGGGGTGCCAACACCATCAGCTGCTGCAGCAGTGTTGTCACTACTAATCACATCTCCGTTCCTCTACCTCCCCCAAATGGGGGAGATGTTCTGTAGTCCTGTCCTTACATGTAAACGATCACATTGTACTGGATCTATGGAGGAGCAGCATTGTAACCCTAGGACAGGACTACTGCACCAATCCCCCGTTCCTGTTCTCTTTAACAAAGGGGGAGGTGTTCTGCAGTCCTAGGGAGTCAACACTCAATCACTGTACTGCATCTATGGAGAAGCAGAGTTGTCACCCTAGGCTGCTATAACACCCTTAACTAAGGGAAGATATGGAGCTCAGCTGCGGAACCCCGTTCCGCCTTACACACCCGAACCTAACAGCAGCGTTGGCATCCTAGGACAAGACTATTGAACACATCCCCACTCCCCTTCTCCATAACCAAGGGGGTGGAAGTGTTCTGCAGCCCTGCCCTAGGATGTCAATTCTCACTAGTATTGTCACACTGGGTCAGGGATACTGAACACATCCCCAGCTCCCTTTTTCCATAACAAGGGAGGGGTTCTGTAGTCTTGTTCTAGGGTGTCAACTCTCACTCAGTGTACCGCACACTAGTGGTTTACAATGCTGCATCACCAAGGACAGGGCTACTGAACACATCCCCTGATTCCCTTATCCGTAAAGGTGGGGGTTCTGTAGTCCTGTCTTCAACTGTATCCATGGAGGAGCAGCAGGATGACCCCCACTATCCTCATCTCCATAACATTGGGGGTGTTCTATAGTTCTCAGGTTTGAGAAGACTGATGGGATC